TCAAACATCACGTCACGACGTGGTGTGGCAAAGCTCTGAAGGTGGCCCAGTAATTGCGCCGCTTCAACTCTGCGTATCGAGGAGCTGCCCCTGCAGCACTGGTTCGAGCAGTGGACACGTGCATTGTCCCCATAGCAACCTTCGGAGCAGATGTTTGGTGGCCCGGCCTCAAACGTCCGACCAAAAGGGGGATCATCACACCTCGAACCAGCATTTTCTGCGAGATGATTGACAAGGCAATCTTGACGGGACTGCGCGCTGCCCTCCCGGTAATGAGAACTACACCGAATCTTGTTCTCCACCGAGAAGGAGGTATCCCAACAGGGAAGATCATTCTGGAAGGGAACCGACTACGGCTTTCGGCTCGGCTCCACTCACTGGACAACCGCCACCCGCTCCGGACCCGTGCCGCCGTGTGTCCAAACAATGGAACAAGGAAGTACAAGAAAAATGCTCGGGCACCCAAGAATCCGGAGATCCAGATGTCAAGAGTGCAGCGGGCCTTCCGACAACTCCCGGACGCGGAAGACGCTAAGCCTCTGCCGCCGCCATGCTATCTGTCGAACTTCGGCCCAAGGACAGAAGAGGAGGACAAGGTAACTCGGTTCCTTGGAGGTGTATTGCCATCGGATATCTGTGCCTACCCGGATGGATCGTCGGAGGGGCATGGTCGCTCAGTATGGGGGTTCGTCTTGAAGAGGGATGGAAAGACTCTGTTGAAGGGATGTGGTATCAAGCATGGTGGTGAAGTGCTCGATGCGGAAATACTAGGGGCGAGGAAGGCCCTGGAAGCTGCGCTAGGATTGTTGGAGAGAGAGAACGGGAGAAGTAACGGCAGGCAGTGGATCAACGTGTTGACGGATAGTCAGTCTGCAGTGAAGGCACTGCTGACAGGAACCGCCACAACAAGTCTCGACGATGTACGCCAATTTAGGGCGCTATCAGAAAAGGCTCGAGTCTCGGTTCAGTGGATACCAGCCCACTCCGGGATACAGGGAAACGAAGAGGCTGATAGAGTTGCACGCTCCGGCCTCCAACAACTTCCAAGTAAAGAGAGCCAGCCTGGCTCCGTCACTTTGGCGTACGTTCGTCGTCTGATGAACCAGAAACGTCAAGCTCTTCTCGAGGAATGGTGGGAGGAAGCATGTCCACCTAGGTATCGAAATCTGGGTCTACTCATGCGACGACGCAAGCCACAGGAGCAGGCACTTTCTCGGCGGTTACTACGTGAACTGATCTCAGCTCGAACGGGACACGGAAACTTCGCTGCATGTCACCATCGTTTCAACAACTTCACCGCTTCTATGGAGTGTGCGTGTGGAGAGGAAACATCACCTCTCCACTTCATTCACTGTCGACTGCACGAACGTCAGACGCGTCGACTCCGAGGGACAATGTCACATCACGACTTTGTCCAAAAGCTTCTCGGGCCTAAGTGCCTTGAGGATTTTACAAAATTTGCGCAGGAAACCGGCTGCTTCGGCAACTCACCTGCAAGTCCGTCACCAGCTCTCAGCGGAGACAACATTAACTAGGTCATAGCACGAAGCATGACAGGAAGGAAAACGAGACGAGGAGTGTCGCTTTCCCACCTCAAATTGGAGTATTGGATTTGGAATTTTGGTTATGGGAGTCTGTGGGAGCATTTAAATTCTTTCTTATAACTAGCTACTGGTTGTGTAGTGGGTCACGCAGTGAGACCGAGTCGGGCATGTGGGAAGCATGATCTTGGCCGTGTACACCGGTCCTTGACTCCTAGGAGATATAGAGCATAGCTTAGGACCTAAAATTTATAAAAAAAAAAAAAAAAAACAATAAGATACCATTCGCATCCTGTAACATTTTATTGCCATAATCACCCAAGTATATTCTAAGCCCCCTGAGTAGTCACAACCATTTAATTGAAGATACCAAGTGTATAAAACCATATACATCACCACCCTTCAATAGGTAGGACCTATTTATTCGTGTTTGCTACCCGTTATTCAACACATCACAAGTCCATATTCATAGAGTGTGTAGGACATTGGGTTCCTTTATGACCCAAGCCACACCTTGTACAGTGCTGCTATCATCTTTTGTTGCTCGATAGATGATTGATAAATTTCCCTTGATGAGTAGCCATTCAGCTCAGTATTTATCCGTGGAATTCAGCCAACTGTTCCCCCGAACCTTCTACCCAAAAAACATGGTACCAATGCAAACTGCGTGCGCGGGAAAAAGTATTAGGCACTGAGGGTCAAATGAAAAATGTAAAGTAAACTTGTATTGATGAAATCTCTGGTCCTCAACTCCTTTCCGGTATTGATGCTGTATACCCAATCTGAAGCTATTTCCGGGAGAATATTTTCCCCTCGTTTCCCAAAATTACATATGAAGTATATTACATGTGTTGAAGATCAAAAGACCTCAAATTGGAGCTTTGAACATCCTTACCATCCTGAACATACTCATCACCATGTCCTCGGTGAGATATCAGAGCTCAAGTAAGTTAATCCGAGATATTTCATCCCGATATCCAATGATTCTAATTACCTTATTCAGTAGGCTCTAAGCTATCAGATGTTTGACTAAAAGTCTCAAAAAACCTGGAGCCCCAGCGAGGCGAGACCTTGACTTCGGGACCACATGAGGTGCGCATATTCATCTATATCTCCCTTCTTTGTGACAGTCGAGGCCGACTTGACCTAATCCACCATCTCCGTATCGGGTACTGGGTACGCTCTGGAAACTTAGCGGATGGCTTTTCCTTCATAACCAAAGGTTGGTGATGAGGAGAGCTTCTATGGATTCCTCTTCCGATCCGTCCTTCAGTATATAATCTCTTAAAGGACGTATATAGAATGTAATATAAGTTAATTGATGTGTAAGTTACAAGTCTTAGAATCGCTAGTATACCACGCTAGAAAATAATGTAAACGCTACAGGATAAAGTCATGTGACATAAAACAGCGTAAGGCTGACACTTCAACATATAATTTTACCCTTCTTCCCATGGTGCTATGACAACAGTATGATTCTTGACACATTGTATCATGTTGATATTAGGTTCAGGAATATTTTATGATGAGCTAGTGGAAGGAGGGAAGGTATATCTATGATAGCTTGATCTGTAACCTCGAAGCTCTTTACGCCTAGCCTTCTGTCATACCCAACACCTTCAGACCATCTCAGGTCGCCTTTAGCACCTTAAGTCACCACAAGAATTCACTCGAGCTTTTAGTCTCTCTAGATATTACTATTACCTACTATTCAAACCTTTAGTTCCTCTAAGTGATCTCACGTAGATCTTCAATCATGTTTTGCAGTCCATCCAACCCCTCTTCAACTACAGTTACACTTCAGTCCATACGTCTTCGCTCCAATCTCACAGGCTTCGACCATAACGTCTGTTCTGATCGTGATTATCTTCATGACAATGGTGAAGGAGGAGTGTGTTTAGAGATGAATACGATACAGACAGCGAAAGCGATTGGGAATCCTCATCGAAGTGTTGACTTCTGCTTAACTTGACGTCACTTTTGAAAATACTAACCTCAGTGTCGAAAATTCGGGGTAAACAGTTTGATGTGTTATGACACGCTAATTATAATAAGCTACAGCTGCAGGTTTCAAATGTAGCTAAGTTAAGTGTAAAGCTCTGCCCACAAGTCACATATATACTGAGGAGGGGTTTAAGGGAGTTGTGTTGAAGATGTCTCCGTGCCTCCATAACCATAGACCGCCGTGGATATCCTAATCCAACTCCATACGTGTTTACTATACCCCAAGCCACTCAGCATAATGAATGTTAAGTTTTTGTATTGCTTAAAAATAATCTTCGTTTCCACACATGCATGTCAATATTCAAACTTCACTCCTTCAATTTATTCTCGACTGCCAGAGTTTGTCAATAATTCAATTTATTAAATAAAGCTCGAGACACTGCAATTAAAAACAGCTTATAACATTGAGAACTAGTTCCTACCATTGAAACAACTGATACTAGTATCATGTAGGAGCCCAATAAATACCTACCTTTTATTTGATCTAGAAATAATTACGAAATAAGTAAACTTGGAAATTTTCCTAGCAGGGAAATGAAAACTATCCGATATAACGTTTCCTTCAGCTTAAAGGCCATGCTTTTGTAGGTGCATAATTCTACACATCGCTGGTAGGCAGTTTGCCAACATGCTATCACACTACAAAGGTTTATCATCAGACTACTTTCTCAATTGATTTTCATTTAGCTATTTAGCTACTGAGTTTTGTTTCGGAGATTCAGGTTCGTTACGTGTCGCGTTTTCAGGATGTTTCGCTTGTGATCTATGCAGGTAGTTAGTATCAGCAATAAGTAACATTGATTATTATTTGAAGATTTCAGATGCGTCGCTTCAGCATCTTTTGGGAAGCGAGAAAATATTCTTAATAAAAGATATAGCATATTCCTTCACTCACATTTTCAATGCCTCGATAGCTCTATCGAACGCCGCAATGATTGGTTCGTATAGTTTGTTGGGGTCCTCAAGATTTCCTGTTCGCGTCTTTATATTTGAATTAAATAATAAGTCCCTGAATTCCTCAGCTAGAACCTTGACATCATCAAACATCGGCGAAAATTTAAACAATACTTTTTCGAAGCTACCTAGAGTCATGTAGTATTCCTTATGTAAGTGTATTTCTTGGGCGGTCCCTGTGTACCATTTTGATAGGAAAGCTTCATGCGGGTTTGTGCCTTCATTCCATCCACAGTCAATGCAAACCCAGACTAAGACATACAAGAACGACTCGAGATCATGTCGGTAAGTGTGGGTGACCACTGCACCCGTCGTCGCAAAGCTGTTACTCAAAATGTCCAGTGCGATAAATTGCATCGTGCCTGTCACCACTCGATCCTTTTCTTGAACTTTTCCATCTTTCAACAATGTTGCCAAGTCCAGATCTATCAAGACACCACCCAGCTTGTCACTCGTCTCAATGCCAGTCAAAAGAATATTATTCACCGAGATGTTGCGATGTCATATCTTAGCGTCCATCAGTAATGACCGGTGCGCCTTGATGGCATCGCTAATCCCGATGATCAGTTCCAGTGCCGATCTAAACTTATCAATTGGCCGCCCGTAAGGCGAGATCCCGGCAGCGGTAAATTGACGGTCACGTGGAATAATGACTCCAGTGTTTACCATTTTTACCGCTTTCGTACTACATGATCTAGCATTGGCACTTGACTTTGGTGGATTTGGAGCCTTTTCAGGAAGTGAGCTTGGTCCCGCAGAATTATTCATCGCAATTAAGCCGGCGTTACTTGACAGTTGAACTCTCTTCAATCTGTCGTTTACTTCGGCATCATCGGCAGTTTTCCTTTTACCGGAAGATTGATTGACTGAATAAGCAGAGCCTCCCACGATCATTGCCCTGCCAGAGTTTGGAATTTTGAGCGCCTGCAATGAGGAAACAGGTGGATTCAACTCCGTAACTTGTTGGGTCACGGTTGTATCTGTGTTGTAATTAGTAAGAACTTCCATTTCCACGTAATGATTTTGCCTACTTTCTTGCATTGATCGCGCTTTTTTAATTGATCCAGCCATCTCTTTTTCAGCTTGAAGTGCCTCCCTCTTTCGCTTTCGGCTCAGTTGGTTATTCACGCTTTCCTTCGGAATCCGTATCATCTCTCCACTTAAGTCGTATGGCGTAGTCATGATCTTCTCCGTCGGACGAGTGTCTTTGACCATGCTCTTGGTGAACAGAAGACCTTCGCGAAGCTGGCTGATTTTTACCAGATTAACTGATCCAAGAATCTTTGCCATCCCAGGTATATTGTCCGCCATCTCAAGAAGCTCAATCTCTGAAAGCCCATCGCATATTCTCCACGAGAATTTGACCACGCAGCTGAGGGTTCTGTCTTTATAGCAACTTGTTCCCCTACAAAGGTATGCCTTCTGTTGAGAGATTGGGTTGGGATCCAAGGTGAACTTCCGTATTTCCTTCGACCCGGGCACCTCGAGATGAACTATCATATCTTCACCTTCGTATTTGACGTTGGGGTCAAGACCAAGTTCCTCGTCGTTCATCAACATGTATGTCACCAAGACATGCACGAGCTTCTCTGGTGATTTGCCAATATCAATGTATGAACAAGAATACGGTCCCGATCGGTCGTATACCCAAAGTTGCAGGTCTTTCTCGAAGAGGATGAACCCGTGCACGAATCGACGAAGTGGCTGAGCCATGAACACTTCCCGCATGTATACACTGAGCTGAAGAAACGTTTGCCGGGAAACCTTGGATGAAGATACCGTAAGTTCACCTACCACAAGAATATCACGCCAATGATGCCTGTCCTCAATCGGAAGGTTTCGACTTTTGATGAAGTAATCTACCTGTCGCTTTGTCTGGTTTCCAATGATTTTTCCGGCTGCGAGAGTGTGAAATTGAGCCCCAGTGAAAGCTAATCCAACCCGTTCTTCTGCAGTATTTGCAGCATCATTTGTTGCCGAATCACTTGGGCTTCGATAGCCTTTGATTAGGTCATGCTCGATAACCTGCATCCATTTCCATACCGCATCTTCAGTCGGGACAGCGGGAAACTGGAACTTGGATTCTGCCGACAGTTCCATAAATTTCTTGGTAAGGCCGTCACGCTCGACCTTTATCCGCTTTGACTCAAAGTATTTGTCCCAAAAGCCGATCACGTTCACAAACACCGAGCCTTCCAACTCTCCGCTCAAAGCTTGCTTCAGATCCTCCATGTTCATTTGTGCCCCGTCAGATGATTCTACTACTCGTCGGTAAATGGATTCAGTAGCTAGTTCTTCGAGCTGATCTTCTGTAGCTGACATGATCTTTTCGAGTTCATCGACAAGCAGTATGAGTGAGTTCCAAATTTCAAGGTCAGTCGCATGGTTCATAATTAAACTTGCTACTGGCTCAAAAGGGACCAAGTCAAAAGTCGTGGAGTACATCCAGCTTTCTATAGTTCTCAACCGTGAGAGAAGTTTTTTAACCTGAGTAGGTGTATCGAAACTCCTTTGAATGTAAGCAATAAACATAACAATGAGATTTTCAAGAGGCTCTCGACATTCGTCTGCATTTTTGGGATTGCCGAATACCTTTGCTTGCGGGGAGGGAAAGTTGTCTTTGTAAAGGCTGCGGAATGATCGTAATACTTTCCCGAGAGGTTTTTCTGCAAGATGTGCTGCAATATCTATGTTAAGAGACATAATATAATCGCTGCGTGAGGAGAGGCTTGCGTATCAATATTCTGGAAGGAAAAGATGGGTATGTAAAGAGTAGGACTGATGAAGTATGTTTAGTGAAGGTGGGAGAGGAGAATGGACGAATTTATACATCGCAAGCTCACGTACTAGTAGCGTGTCCTAATAATCTGCACCTGTAAATTCCATTTTAAAATATATGCAGTTTTAGCATTTACCTCAGAAAATGGAAGTCAATATTATTTTTATTATCCCTACCATGGATCAACTTCGCTTGGACGCTTTTTTGATTTAACGATTGGTAGCGGAATCCTTGCAATAAACGTTCCACTCCAACAAGCCAAAAAGGACAATCGATGGCTCATGCACGTCAGCCTCAGCGACAAAGTTGAGGATATAATTTTTGTTAGTAGATCACATTCTCCATTACGTGGGCCAGCATTAAGAATGTATTTATTCGGGATATAAACATTGCTAGCGACCAGCCTCCTTCCGCGAAAGTAACCTGACAAGCTGGGGGCTGATTCGAAAAGCCAGAAGCTCTTTTATTCACATAGATATCAGTAATACAATAGACTGATTCATTCAGAAGTGACCTCTCAGCTTTAAAATTGATTATACTTTCACGTCAACGTGGAGTATGAAGTGTACCAGAACGTCTACTGGCTTATCACATTACATGGGTAAAATCAACTCACCGCTCACTGCGCGGTAAAGCAAACATTGGTTTTCGTGCGCATTTTGAGATAGGTCTGAAATTCTAGATAACCTGTCGTCCGACTCTTTTCGAGGTTTGTCGAAACGAATAATGATGGAGAATGAAGACTAGGAACATGGATACAAGGCTCTGTTTAGCTTACACCAGTGAAATATTGCTGTATTGCAGGTTTCCAAGCTTTCGCATTATGATATTTCTGAAATCGCATTGTAGTTTGAAAATTAATTGGTTGACTGCTCAAATCGCGTCATACATGGATCCGAATGACCCCTAATTTTAGAATTTACATCTTTATCTCAAGTACAAGTTTGGGATTGAGAACTTGCGGTACATGTAAAAGTAGAGGATATGAATTGCTCATAACCACTCATTTACTAGTTTCTTTTTATGGTTTTATTTAGCTCCCAAGCTAATGCATGAAGTCCAATCTGCATCAGTAAATATGGAGCCGGCGGAGATCTTTGATCACAGTCCAACTCATCTACAAGTCGTGAACTTGAACGGAAAGTTGAGAATCAAGAACGAACCAGAAGTCGAAAACTAGAAGAATCCCCTCTCGCGCATCGTAGACTTGCGACACTCCCCCTTCTCTATGCATTCTTATCTTATGAATGTCAATTTTCAACTTCTGACGAGGGCAAAAGTGAGCTATCAGATAGTCGATGTCTCTGGTCAGTCTACCGTCAATCTTATTCAGTCTTGAAAGACATCATCAAGGGTGGCTCACCCTTGATAATTTCCGTGAGGACTGAAGAATTTTGAATCCAGACACCTCTACTCCAGGAATATACAGTCTCTTACGGGTGACAAAGGTAAAATTGTCAAAATGACTGGGGTTAGATCCCTGTACATTTTGCCTTATTTGGTATGATCTTCATGCAGGCCCATGTCACGTTATTCGACTAGTTATGCAAGCAAGGGACACTATCCAATGACATTCCGTGAAAGTCTAAATTATGGGGATGGTTTTGAACTCAATGGGAAAGGTACAATAGTCAGTTGAAATTCATAATTGAAAAGCGTCAGTTGATAGTCTCTTAAAATGCACATCTATTTCAAAAATTATTGCTCTGTATTACAAAAGTCTACATCGAAGCCCTCAGTATGGCTCGCAACTAAAATGAAAGCGTACTACATGTTTTGTGTGTCTTCTCCATCCTAACACTTTGTGTACCCTCCATTTGCCTTTATCACTGCTACACATCTTTCGTGCATGCTGCCAACTAGTGACAATAGCTCCTCTGAAGATATTGAGTCCCATGCATCCTGAAGCAATGTCTTCAACGTGGCAGAGCGCACAAGCCTGACCCCATTTTTCTCTGGACTATTTACCTGAATGTGGTTTTTGAAGATATTCCACAATGACTCAATCGGGTTCAGGTCCGGAGAGTAAGGTGGCCATCTAATAGGCGTTATTCCAACCTCACGCAGCGCCTCAATTGTTGAGTACGCTTTGTGACATGGTGCGTTGTCGTGCATGTATAAAATTTCTGGATTTTCTGAGTGAAATTGATTCAAAATTGGCAAAATCCTTTCACAAAAGGATGAGGCCCTCATTGATCCCCAATCCTTCTCTCAGACTAGGAATGGGCCTTTTTGTGATCCATAAAATGATACCCAAAACATCCAGCTGTTCCCATGAGCATGGCGAGCCACAATACAAGTCTCATCAAACTCATCATCAGGCTAAACTCTGCTGTTAGTAAAAGGAAGATTTAGATAGAATTTAAATGTACTTTTCTTGTGACACGAGGTTTCATATGACAATCACCCGAAACCCAGGTTTCATCAGTCCACAGTATGCGACTCCATTGTTCATCGCTCCAATCTGAATGTAATTGGGCGAGCTCCAATCTTTTCTGTTTGTTCACTGCGCTTAACGGAGGCTTCTTCCGAGCAATGCATCTGCTGTAGCCTCTTTTTTTGAGTGCATTAGAAATTAGACGTTCACTGCATCCCCAGTGGCTGAAGGGCCCCATGGCTAGTTCCAAATAGCACATCTGCCGATTTTCAAGTGACTCCCGGACGAATGCTTCAAGGTCATCAACTTGTTCTGCGCTTAATTTTGGTAAGGGTCCTTTGCGAGACATAGGATTCTCAGTCTCTCGAGCACACGCAAGTTCTACTTGTCTTATTGTGAAGCCAAGTTTGTCGGATATATTTTGAAGTGTCAAGCCAAGTCTTCTTATTGCTCTTATTTCTATACATTGATCGCGAGTTAGATGCTTGCGAACTTTAGTTTCTGAAGCAAACTTTTCGAGAGACATTGTTTGCTAGAATAGAGGATGAATTGATAGTGGTGAGAAGTTTCAGTGATTGTGTAGGCTTGGCAGCCAAAAACGTCGTTGAAAATGTGTTTTTCTAAGCGATTATTAGAAGAAGACGATTGGACCATACTTCATGGCGAGCGGGGTAAGGAGGAGAGACATACTAACCTATTACGAGCTAGCCCAACTGCACCTACAGGGCTAATCCCTTCAACGACCCAGTCTGAAGTTTTACCTTTTGGAACCTAGAGGCACTGTAGTTTGAAGACGCGTGCAACGTTTGCTCAGCTGTTGTTGGAGTAGTTCTCACTCTAATCTCTCTTTTCTCCCAATTTCGTCTGTTTGCTTCTGATTAAGGTAACCCGATAATTCGAGTGGTAATGTCCTCCAAGGTTTTATCTTATTTCAGACGCTTACAAACTACTTGCGAGAGTATGGAGAACCTTCTGTTGAAATCTAGACATACCAGACCGAACTACACGCAGTGCGGAGTAGACGAAGACTACTCATCTTCGATTGCTACCAGTGTTGGTGAGGTCTCGGCTGGTAATGATCTCGGTGGTGTGAATGTTATTCCATCACGTAATCAGAACATAATTTTTCTATCTAAGCGAGGTAGAACATAGACAGACAATTAGATGTAGATTAAACTCAACACTTTCTTACTACCTAAATATAAGTTCAGTGTCCTACATAATCATAGACTCAGACAGGACAATAAAATGAATTAATATAAGTTCAGTAAAACCAAAACCTCACTGATCCTAACCTTTTATCTCTGATCCTTAAATCCCCGATACCTTACGATTCGTACAGTATTGACTTGACGGTCAACATTCACTTCTATCATTCCAGATACCCCCTAGAACTTTAATACCTTCAGCTGTAGCATTACAGAAAACAGGAGCATCAGCTGGTGGCAATTTTATTTGTAGTTGTGATGTCGTACCTGTGCGCAGCACTAGATTAGCAAAGGTCAGCAAAAATAAATTCTCGTTAGTGGTGTTCCCTACGAACCTCCAGCTCTCACTGCAGAGCCTACAGAGCTGACTTTGATTAGCACCTCAGATTTTACTACGATGGGGTTTCTTAGTAGATTTTGTGGTCTGTATCGTATTCATCCCTCAACATATCCCCCTATCACCATTATCATGAAGCTTACCACGATCTGATCAGACGTCAGGGTCGAAGCCCTTCTCATCACCAACCCTTGGTCATGGAAGACCAGCCAACCGCTGAGTTTCCGGAGCTTACCCAGATCCCGATACAGAGATGGCAGATTGGATTAATTCGGCCTCGAATGCTAGTGAAAAGGGAGATATAGATGAACATGCGTACCTCATCTAGTCCCAGTGTCTAGGTCTCGCCTGGCTGGGGCTGCAGGTTTTTTGAGACTTTTTCCTGCGCACGCAATTTCCATTGCTACCACTCTTTTATTTTTTATTATTTTTGGGTAGAAGGTTGCATAGAATGAATGAATTAAGGTTTATTCGTGACGGACACATACCCTGCACTCAAAGAGCATGACTAGGAGAAGGCGATTTCTTACCCGACAACTATATATGACGATAACTAAGTTTGTCTTTTGGACTACTCATGTAGTGGGTGCATTCGCTGATACCACTCGAGATCTTAGTGCTGGGGACTTTCACTCTTCCCTCAATCGTTAATATCCACCAGAGGGAAAACAGGAAAAACCTTTGGCTACCCTAATATGCCTCTGCCATCTTGTATATAACCGCCGCGCGAGATATAGCCTCACAGTCCTCCTTTTCTCGAGTGAGGTGGGTGTCCAGGCTACTCAGACTTTAAATCGGGGAGATGAGGACCAAGCGGCGAACCAAAACACCTTCCATCGTTGCCTGTTTTTAGAGTGTCGGCACCATTATCCAAAGTCGTTGCCTCTGCGCCCACAGACACCCTTAAGTCGAAAACACTCAAAAAATGTGCGTCCCAACATGCCCATTTGTGACCTCTTCACTCGTTAGTCCCATGTCCCAGCTGCCTGTCCTCCCTCAAGA